TAATGAACTCCTTTAGCCATTTTACACCTGGGAAATTCTTTATTTCATCTTCAATTTTATATGACAGCCTTGATGGATAGAGTGTAGGCCCCCTTCCCTCCTTCCTCATCCTTTCTCTCTCTCTTTTTCAATACTTCATGCCCATGCCCTCTGGTCTGAAGTGTTTCTGTTGAGAAATCAACTGACCACCTTATGGAACCTCTCTTGTAGGTAACTAACTGTGTCTTGCTGCCTTTACACTTCTTTCTTTGTCTTTAAACTTTGCCATTTTAATTATTACTCCTTCAGGGTGCAGTGGGCTGAACTCGCAGGGGAGCCTGGGTTTGCCTCCCCATAATGCCATCATCCAGCTGCACCCGCCCGCCTGGCTCCTGGACAGGCCCCTCCCTAGCCGATGCCATCCAGCATCCTAGCTCTGTGTGGGCCCCCTCACCCCCCTCCCACACACACACTGTGAACCATGCTGGGAGGGCAGGCCCAGTGGCTCCACAGGCCGTGGGAGGAGTGTCAGCCTGTGCTCCTAGCTGGGGAGACTTTTTCTCTTTCCCAGGCCACACAGTTTAATCACTGTCTGGGTCTCTGCCAGGAGCCTGCCAAGAAATCGGGGGCCCCTCCACGTCCCTGCTGGGTGTAACTGGCAGGCCCCATAGGGCCGAGTCCAGCAGCGTGGTCTCCAGCCAACAGAGTCGGATTGAAGGCCCCAGGCGGGTGCTGCCGCTTTGGGAGCTGGAGCTCTTTCCTGGAAGGTGCAGTGTGAGCCTCCTGGGCACTGACTCCCCACTGACGCCCACCGCCCACCACACAGGCTCCTTTCCCGTCTCTGTGGCTCTGAGTTGGGGATCTCCATGCGAGGTTAGACCCCACAATCCCAGGGGAGGGAGTCCCACAGCCCCGGTGCCTCCCTTCTCAGCTCCTCCGCACCTGCGCTCTGCCCTTCTCACCAGGCTTGTGTGGCTTTTCCTGAACTTCAGGTCAGCTAGTCTTCAATCGGCGGTGTGTAAGGCTGAGTGCTCTGTAACTGAGCTGTAAGTCTGGCTTGGGGCTGGGAGCAAGTGGGAGCAGCTTCCAGCTACTCTGCAGCCATCTTGGAAGCTCTCAGCAATGTTAAAGACCGAAATGGAGAGTTTCCTCCGCCCTGCTAAGTGCTCATTTTCTTTAATACGCGGAACTGTAATTAAAATGCTTTTTCGTTGTAGTTCTTAATGAGTTGGGCATCCCACTGTACCACTGCCGATGTCATGAGGGTAGCAGCCATCAGCACTGCAGCCCACAGACTGGGCAGTCCCCTTGCTGTTAATCCTGCTGGAGGATATGTTTTAGAGAGAGTGGAAGAAGGGGGAGAGACACACATCATTGATTGCCTCCTGCATAGGCCAGGGATTGAGCCTGCAATTGAGGTACGTGCCCTTGTCTGGAATCGAACCCGCAACCCTTCAGGCCATGGGCACACCCTAACCACTGAGCAAACCGGCTACGGCTGCCGGATCCCTTTAATGGATTCAGAGAGTTCTCTAGCTAAAGATTGACACATCTGCTGGGCTATCTCATCAAAAGTGTATTTCCACTGTGCTTACTAGTAGTTTGTTTGTTTCTTCCTGTTTCTGGCGGTTCTTTGAGGGCTTTGATGACCAGGGCAGAGGCAGAAGGCACTAACTACCTCAGTCTGAATCTGTTCTGAATGGTCACTTCCACTGTAATCCTCAGACCCTTCCAATCGCCTGTTGCTTTGGTGATGTCATCACCAACCTTTTTTGAAGACAGACCCAGGGGGCCAATTTTGGGGTCCAGGTCAGACATGGCACTGACTTTCCCACCAGTGTAGCTCAGATATATGACTTTGATCTCATTGGAGCTGAACTTTGGGGGGAATGGTGTCACATGAACCCAGATTCAGGTGTCTGGAGGGAATTGCAGCTGAGCCTCCTCTGAGCCAAAAGCCAAAGGTGTGGTGGAAGTGTTTGTTTCTGATAGAATCTAGCACCTTGGAAATATGACCTGGGCATCCCTTGGCAGTGTCCTTTGGGGTCAGCACACTGCCCCATTCTCCAGCCCGTGGGATGTAGAGTCAGGGAAGGCACTTCATCTCGAGCTTGTCCGCTGAGTTTGGGCCTCAGCTGAATGGAATGAGGGTGATTGAGGGCTTGCTAGCTTCCCACACTCAGAGAGGTGAACACATCCTTTGGGACTTCACTGAAGTCACTTCATCTGATGTTAGTTTTAAAGTCTCCATTACCATTTGGCAGAATGCTAGTGCTAGTTAGATCTGAAGACTAAGATTTTACCCACGTGAGTGTGTTCTAAAAAGCAGTTTCTCTGTATTTCTTCTTCTCTTACTGAATACCCTTGTAGCAGTCAGGGATCTTCATTGCAAGCAACAGAACAATTCTGTTAAGGCACTGAATTTAGAAAATTGAATCTGACAGATTTGCCAGAAAGGCTGGAGAACCAGACTTGAGAAGTGGTGAGAACACAGGGCCGTGTACAATTGCCCTGGAAAGTGGGGTACTCCTTCCACCTCTCTGCATCTCCTGCTCCAGGTACAGGGGCCCAGGTGGGAGTGCCCTGTGGCTGGGTCTAGTTTATATGCCCATGCCCTAGCTGCTGGTGGTAGGGAAGTGGATGCAAATGAATAATTGGTCTTTTTAGCATCCAGTTTGGGGGCCAGGGGCTTTCTGTCAAGATGTGGTTCTCTTCCCATCTGCTGCAGATTCAGAAGCTCCATAGTTGAGCATCACACTTTCCTCCCTGTCCAGCACTGCTCTGAGTATGGACCTGCGGTCAAATCCCTTTGAACCAACATATTCTCTGTGTACACATCTTAATCTTAATTAAAGCATACTAATTTCCCAAGGTTTCATGCAGGATTATTTAATATAGTCAACTTACTGTGGAGGGCACTGTAAATTGCCAGTCAGGTATACTACAAAGTAGGCCGTTCATTCATCACTTAGTGGAAGTGGCGTTTTCTTTAAGAGTAACAGGCCTGGCCAGTGTGGCTCAGCAGTTGAGCATTGACCTATGAACCAGGAGGTCATAATTCGATTTCCACAGTCAGGGCACATGCCCAGGTTGAGGGCTT